ATGCTGAAATTCGTACCTTATCTACTGGTCCATTGCATTTTTTTCGATTTAAACATTTCTTACCTTGTATTTTCTAAAATTGTAATTTTCCAAATTGCATATTTTCAGATTGCATTCCCTTTTCTCATGCTGCTCACCCTGTATTTTCTGAACTTGTAATTTTTCAAAATTGCAAACAAAACTTTTGAATTTATTGTGAATTCCAAATAACCTTCTCATATATTTCTTAGAACATCAATTTTTTTTACGCCTTTTTCTCTTGGCTGTTTAAACTCAATTTTCGAGGGCGAAAATTTCCGGGATGCGGGGACGTTGTCGTGCCACAAGCTGTTAGCTATGGCAACTCCGCGTTGCACTTTTCTCACGAGCCGGACCATCTCTACTGATAAGGCATTTCAGACCTTTTTCCTCTTATGCACATGCCACCTTCGGAGATGAGTTGACCTCGACACGTGCCCCAAAGCCCAGCATCCTGGGACCACGCCGCTCGCCCCGCTCGCGGATACGCGAGGCTTTAAAAGCCACGGCCGCCAGGCCGCTGGGGGCCAGTCTTATACTGCCTCCCCTTGGGCGACGTTTATGAGAAGGTATGATTTGGAAGGAGTTTTTTTATATTTATGCTGTGTATCATCACTCGGTTTGTATTTCGTAGCTGTTGCTACTTTTCTTGGTTGGAGCTTGTGCGTGTCATTTTTTTTGCTATATAAAGTGTTCATTTTTCTGTATCTCAGTTTTTATATTTTTCATCAGTTTGTACTCCCATGGAGTCCATTTCCAGTTTCTAGTTGCTTTTCCGAGCTTTTTCGTCCTCATGTATTTCCTGCGCGAAGCGTCGGTCTTCTTTCGCGTGGAAATCCATGAGCATGATTTCTGCTCGAGAAAAGGAGTTCATTTTTGTTTTGTAGTTTCTATTCGCTTTTCTGAGTTTGGATCATCCTCGTGTATTTCCTGCGCGAAGCGTCGGTCTTCGGAAATCCATGAGTATGATTTCTGCTCGGGAAAAGGGGCCGTAGTTCTCTCCGGGGATGCTATTTCCTTGCTTCCGCGATTAGCGCGCTGGGACAAGTTGGGCATATCTTTTCTAGGCTTTCCCTCTTTTGTGTTTTCCTCTCATCCTGCCTTGCCTGCGCGAAGTGCTGGTCCTCAGGATCGCTTTTGCGCGGGGGAAAGCGTTTGAGTATGAGCAGGAGCACATGTGATGGGACGAGCTGGGAAGGGATCCCTGCCTGGCCACCTCGGCTGCGCGGCTGCAGGTCGCATTGGGAAGACGCAAACCTAGAATTTGCTATAGCCATATTTTTTGCCTCTTAGGAGTTTTCTTAGTATTATTTTTTTTGCGTGCCCGGGTTTTTCCTCCCACGCATTGCTGAGCTAGCTGGAGGGTTATTTTTGATAGCCCGGAGCCCGAGGCACGACAGTTTCATGTCAGGTTGTGGGTCTTGCACGTTTAAAGTGAATTCAATCTCAAAGCGTGAATTAGTCCCTCGAAAAATTTATTAAAGAAAGTGAGTTTTTCCTCAAGATTTTTTTCTAACTTCAAATGGAATTCATAAAGCATCTAAAACAATTGGCTAGAGTTAACAGTAATATCACTCCAGGCGGGGCTTAGTAGAGGACTTCTACTAAAAACAGCTTGTATCTCCTGTTCCACTATGACAATGCTACCATCACCGATTGTTGAATCGCTAACCTGAGAGAGGCAGTCTTCAAAGACTGAGTTACATGTATTGAATTGGCTATCGACAGTAGTATTTATGCAGGTATCGTCTTATGGACTCTGATTAAAAACTGCTTCTACCTCCTGATCTGCTATACTGGTGCTGCAATCAATGATCTGAATATCAAAATTCAGCCTCAAAGTGTGAAGCTGTCCGTGTCACTCGAAACAACTGAAATGTCATTCTTATATCGATGTTTCAAGACGTTGTAGTATAGAAATAATTCATTTTACACTTGGCTTGCTCTAAAACTGTCATACCAATCAAATTAGGGCGTATATATTTCGATTATAAATTTTTATATTGATGTATTATATGGTTATATGCTTATGGATTATGGTTATTGATGTATTATATTATTGAAGTATTGTATGTATTATGTTATTATAAGTATTATTGATGGATTGTTTTATGTATTGTTATTGTATATTGTATTGTATTTTTGTATTATTATTATTGTATTGATGTTCTTATATATTTATTATATTGATATATATATGTATAGATTATAATATTTATAAACTTTGATCAAGTTCATCAAGTCGGACACGGTTCGAGCGCTAATCGGAGCAAACTAATTGCTCGGCGAAAAATGCAGCCCTGGCACGGGGATGCAGGCCGGGAAACCAAGTGTCTATTTAACATCCCGACTGTTGGCATAACCTTCCCACATATTTTGCATTTCGTTACACCGGTGTGCATCTTCACGTGCTGGCGCAGAGCATCGTATCTAGAATACGTTTCCTTGCTCAAATTACAAGGAAAAGTCTCTGAGTAGTCTTTGAAAACGGGAGTACACAGCTTCTCTTGAGTTTTGGTACGAGAACTATTAATAGGATTCTGCGGGACATCAGGTGGGACTGGACTGCCCTTGGTGTAGGGTGGATGGTTTTCATGGTCTGTAAAAAGAATGTGTTCCTTTAAGTTAGAAACATTTGATAACGTCTGCCCACATATTTTGCAGCTTGTTTCACCGCTGTGCACCTTCATAATAATTGATAACAGTCGTTGATACTAAATATTGAGAAACAATAAAAAGAAACTCACAACACACTTTGACAACAATTTTTTTTTTCTTTCTTTTTGCCCGGGTTGTATTGGGTGTCTTCTCTGCTTTTGTTATTATTTTTGTAGCTTCAGTTGCGTTGCCGGAGTACAGTGGTAAGTGGCACTTGTCTGGGCATTTCTGCATGCATTAATGTACCGTTGATAATGTGAAATCGAGGGTGCAATTTTTTCACGTTTTTGTGGGCATAGACTTTCAAAACATGCCCAAATTTGGTTTGAACACTGTCCATAGTGACCATGCCACACCGGAAATATGCGCGGACGAGACCCCCCGTGCTTGCAAGTCGAATCCTTTTTTCGCCGAATCAAACGGGATGATTAATAGAGGCGATAACCGTATTGCCTATTCGGTAACTCGTCATGGTTATGACTTCAGCAGCAGCAAGTAGCTTCCACCTTCCTATAAGCCGAATACGGCATCATTTTATTCCTCTCTGTGTATCCCGATCTACATATACCGACATACCTACAAGTTACCTGTAAAGACGTTAATAGCCTGAGTCGCTGAATGTCTCAAAATTATAATAACTAACTAACTCTCTCTATGCCTTCATTTCTGAATTAGCAGTAATTAGGGTCTTACATTTTAGTGTGTTTTTTCTTTTTCTTCTCTGTTGATTTTTACCTACTTATATCGTCACCAAGTTAAACTAATTACATATAAGACTGAGCTAAGTAGGCAGTGGTGCCAATCGTCTGATATGATCTCTTTTGTTTCTGTTATAAATAGATTATGTTTTACTACTTTTGCCGCACGAGGCTAGACCTCTTGGCAAGTTTATTTGTAGTGGCTTCAACTTAATTTCCGTATTATGTTTTTTCTTTATTAATAAATGAAATCTGAATCTGAATCATATCGTTTTCAGACAACAATATTTGTCCATCGTATAGGTTTTCTCGAAGTATGAATCTTTTTACTTGACCGAAAACAAATCCTCTCTGATAAAAATGTATCCTCCGATGCCTACATTCCTAACGTACTTCAATTCACCAAATTATCGACGTTTTAACGTAATTTTACACGTTTACTTGGTGCAAAAATGAAATAAACCGTTCGCAACTTACTCTTTGGAACATTAGAGAGATTTTCGAACGAAATCGTTTTGCAACATGAGTTTTCTTTTTAAACAACTTTTATCTTAACGAAATAATTGACAAGTCGATTGTAAGATTATTTGGAGAAGTGAAGAAAGCTCCTTATTCCACACATAACTTCTTTGATTTTTCGTCAATGATGAACGACTCGAATCCCAAAACGAACGTTACGACTTAGAGACTTGTTTCTTCTGTTACAGACACTGTCGTCACAGTTCCCTCAACGTGGCGTTGACGCACCTAGCCGGCAACCCCCGCTCATTCATAGTTGCGGAAGAATTTAACGAAAGTAGGAAGGTATCATGGAATTTATGATGTCACCGGAATATACGTTTCGACACATGAGGAAGAAATCCAACAACTTCACAACACGTGTTATTATGAAGTTATCCCCAATACCCGCCGAGTGAAATTATATGTTGACCTGGAATGGTCCATAATTGGTTCGAAGAACGCTTTAAAAGCTTTGCCAAAGAAGCTCCTCTTTTTGTGACCTCTCTTGGACTTGCAATTCCCGCGGATCCGGCGGGAGCGGCGCACACCTCGGCGCGTTTAAACGGCTCGTATTCAGCTGCACAATGTCCGATTTTTTTGCGGTTTCTTTTGTTGAGCCCAGTAATATTAAGAGAGATTTTAAGACCAATTTTTTTTTTTTTTTTTTTAATTGGTCCATTTTTATAGATTTCACAAGGGGGGATACTTATTACTGAACACCCCTCGTAATCACCCGCCATGATATTTTGATCAATCTGTCAATGAAGACGACGAGTAACTAACAAGTTGCATGAAATGGAACGAATCATCTTCAGCTCTTCGGAAACACGACCCATCTACCCCATTTGTGGCCTTTCACCTCTTTGGAGCATTCCTCATTTTCAACCCCACTCCCCCAAATCAACATTCTGTCATCATGAGACACTTGAGATGATCCAACTGTGATGAAACTGCAAGAATAGCCAACTGTGGCGTGACTCGCTGGACTGAATTGCATGGCAAGGAGAAGTAACGTGGTAAATAAATACAAATAAAACAAAACTAGCACAATAAGCAGGAATGCGTGCAAAAATCTTGATAAAAAACTACGAATGAAGTAAATTACTCCGTAATTTCTTTACTTACAATGGATATGTAACATAATTCTTTTACTAACTGAAGGCGGGAACCCGTTGGCTGCTATACAAATATAAGCTCCCATATCGCTGCGAGTCACCTGCGTGAGCGATAACTCGCTGCCGTGCACGGTTTTCGCTAGAACAGACGTACCCACTGTACCAGATTAGTAAGAAATATATTCTAATGGACGAAAAAAATACTAAACCCGAGATAAACGACTAACTTGGAAACTCGCACTGGAAAAAAAAACACATTGGATCTAGAGTCTAGACTCTTAAGAACATCGACAAGAAAAGTACTCTTGATTCAATCAGAATCTAGCTTAAATCAAGAAACAAGCCTCTTACTTTAAGCGGATTTCGTTTTGACTCAAGCAAAAATCCGATTGAATCAAGAATATTTTTTCTTGTCAATGTTTTCAAGAGTCTGGACTCTAGATCCAATGTGTTTTTTGTTCCAGTGCGAGAATGTTTAACAGTGCAACATAACTGAATAAACGCATCATCACGATATAAATCATTGCGTTATACAGAGGAATTATTCATTTTTATCGTTATTATTAAGAGAGCAAGAGGAACTTGTTACCACAGCAAGCATTCTTGATGCATCCATGTCAGCTTCCTTTATAAGTGCACCTATTACTTGAACCGCAATTTCATCAACTTCTTTTCCTTCACTAGTGCGCCAGTTACTTCAACTGCAATTTCGTCAATTTGGGCATCTACGCGTCAGAATGTCTCCACCTTTTCTCTGCCTTAACGTTTCCCAAGTTTTTTCTCGTCCTGGTACTGCCACGTTTCTCGCCATTTGGCTTTGCTCGGCCTAGCACATTTAGGAATGACCCTTTTAATCCTTGTACTTCTTCTTTTCTTCCTGTTTTTGAAGGCAAAGTATTTACTCCAGAAAATTTTTCGCCTGCTTTCGGTGGATTAGGAGGGTAATAGAATAAACTGTCCAAAGATATATGTCCCAGGTAGAAATATGTCCGAAGTCAATAATGCCCATATCCAAAATATGTCCAAACATCTAGAATGTCCAATAGCGTTAACTCGGCCAAAAACAAAATTGCCCAGTAATGACATAATTTGACCAAGTGGCAACATATACACTGAGAAAAAACTATGGCTTATAAACCTATTAGAGGTAAATATGGAACACCACTAATAGTAGTACCTCTACATATAATAATAGCACATATACCTTAGTTATGGTCTCTGTACCTTAATTAGGTACAGAGACCTTAGTATGGTTCACAGACCGAGAATCATTAGTTTATTTACGACTATTATAGGTGTTCCATATTTACCACTAATAGGTTTATAAACCATAGCTTTTTCTCAGTGTAGAGCTTAAAGGCTTTATACTACCAAAAAATCAAGAGTAAATCAGAATTTCTACGAACAGGTAAATGGCAATATTAATTATGACTGATGGGAACTGGACTTGTGGGCATTTTTCATTTTGGCCGCGTTACCGCTATTGGACATTCCAGATACTTGGACGATTTTTTCTTGGGGACTTTTTTTACTGTGGACATTTTTGTACTCTGGACATTTATTTGTGGACATTGTGACCTATCACCATTAGGAGAACTTACTGAAAGCACTCGTTACCCTCCTGTTAATCCTTCCACAGATTTTTCATTGTTAAAGAGTGATACCTACCCGAGTGGTACTGTCTTTCTTGAATTTTATAAATTGAAGGTATCAAAGTTATTTCCACTTTCCCGAGAAAATAAAATCAGAGTAGAGGTATGTTAAACAAGCTACTAAAAGTTTCTAACGCTTACTTTTATGTTTAATGTCCGAGGAAGCTGATCGGAGAATGATATCGCCACCATCCTCCCTCTTCCACGTGATATTGGGTGCCGGATACCCGGACGCTATACATACTAATTTGGTCGAGCCACCCTCTCGCACCATGACGTCACCGGCAGTGCCTTCGATGATGTCGGGGGGTATCACAACTTCTAACGACGCCGTCTAAAACCGTGCGAGAAAAGAATTCATGGGCATGAGATATTGGATGTTAGAATTACTGAGCAATGAAGGGCATTGAGCAAGAGTTTGATGCAAAACATGATTCCAATTGGAATTGGTTCTTAATATTGTCGCTTACATGTTGAATTCGGAGAAGCTACTAATTACTTAAAGCTTATATGTTGGAGTGTTCTAAACAAAATCGGAATGACTTGCTTCGTAAATGGCGTATTTAATGTCACATTACCAGCATTTGCGTGTTTACCACTAGTAGAAATTACCAGTGTCCGAATCTTTTATCAAGTATAATTGAATACGATGTGTTTTTTTAAGATAGTGAAAGAGCGTGTAAAAACATGGCGTTACAAATCTAAGAGCTTAAAATGTGCTTGACCAAAAACAATGATAAATGTGAAAAGCGCATGTAACGCAAGTTCAAAAGTAACCCAGAATACGCTTAAATCTATGCATTATTGGTCTCTTGCAGTAGAAGTGGCGGCTCACCTTCAGAGAGTACAAAATAAAGTTGATTACCGGGGCAAACCCCTTAGCAGCGTAATCTTTCTACTCCTATTATTGACTAATTACATTATTGGAAATGAAAATGGTTTTGAAGGGTAATTAGTGCGATTAGAACGTCTAAAGGATTTGCTTGAAATGACGTACGAGTAGAGTAAAGCTGATTCAACGCTGATTCCGGTTTTACACGCGGTCAGTGTGGACTCGGTATATGGATCATACTGATTGCGCAGACTGAACGACGGATGCCAATGGTACTGCAATTATTGGAAACTAGTACAAAAAGCTGCATGTCAAGAATTATACGTGAAACCTAGTTGAATTAGGTTACGTTTTGGCACTGGGAAAAATGGTTTGATATGACGCTGGAGGAAAGTTGATTTGGAGCTGACCTGGCTTTTCATGGGGTCAGTGTTGACCTGGCACATGTAGTCGCCGCTGTCCTCAGGGCGGACGTTGCTGACGTTGAGCGTCCACGTGTTGAAGTCGTTGTGCGTCACCGATAGGCGAGCGTTGTTCGTGATCACGTGATCGTGGATCGCCAGGATCGCCTTCGTGTCCGCCTTGATCCAGGCAACCTGCAACAACACCCACCTCGTCGTGAAATTATCCAATTGCCGCAATAATATTTTTGTTGTGCGGGAAAATGATGGGCCGCTGAATAATTGGAGAGGCCAACAGCTCACATTTTGTTACGACCTTGTGCATACTGAATATATTACATACTATTTAATATATTTTCATAATTTTCTTCCTTTTTTTTGGTTTATTCGCCATCCAATAACGTCATTACAGAATTGAAAATTTAAATCGAAAGAAAATAGAAATATCACTAGAGAGAAAATAAATACAAATACAAACCGATGACGAGGAAGATGACGAGGCAATGAGATAGACTTTGGTGCCCGCCGAATTGAAAATTGTTTTTGAAAATGGTAAATCAATTGGACTGCATTTTGCAATTTGGAACTATAAATTCTGGCTCATCTGAAAAAACACTTATGTGCATAGGGAAACCAATGGCACACATGTTGTTTTTAAACCGGGCCAGAATTAAATGCAGTCCAATTGTTGGGTGGCTGGAAATGTGTGACGATGATAGTCCGCGCGCGTACTCTTCCAATCCGTTTTCCTCCGAGTCAAACAGTATGGTTAACCGTGGGGATATATTCGGATCAGTTACTCCCTAGTGCGCCACGGTTACGACTTTATCGCGTTCCCGCGAGGACGCTCTAGTGCCGGTGGTATGAAGCGCAATCGGCAAATTCGCATGACGATCGGCGGCTATGAACGAACATTTTCATACTAAATATGTTATCAAGATATTGCATTCGTGCCGTACAGAAGCCCCCGCGTGTCCCTATATCCAAGAAAATTTCGTGGACAATTACCATATTACTAAACAGATTACATACAAGAATAAGCAGAGGAGAGATTCTTTGATATCATTCAATGTTGAATTTATTGATTTTAATTTGAATTTTTTCTTTGTCATTAATTTTAAATAGAACATCGAACTTTGCCGCCGTTGTTGATCCATTTCGCGCACATCTGCGTTAAATCGCGCAACCAAATGCTGCGGGAACAAAGTGGCCGTCAATGTCGCCTGCGTCGCTGCGATTTTGAAGTGGCGCGGCGATCGGCAGCGGGAACGGTATCACTACTCGAAAACGCCTTCAAATCTACACGATACATTCTCACCCACACCGGAGTTAAAATATTTGTATCAGAAATAATTTCACACAGCGATACTAACTCAGTAGAAGATCATATGATCTTTCAATCACAGAATTGCTCTCTATCATTTTTGAAACGCTGTCTCTTACTTAGTGGGAAAAAATCCATATGGAAACAGTTGCCAAACTGTGCAAATGTTTGGTTCTGCATCCTGGCAGATCCTGACTTACGTTTTCAAAGTAATAATAAGCAATTAATTACAGCCTATAAATTATGGAAAAAACAGGATTTTAGGCGAAAATTTAGAAAGAATTGTGACGAAAATTGTAAACGGATCATCGAAAATGAGCAAAAATGCTGACTGAGACCAGGAACTTCCGACGTGCATCCAGGCCCCAGGGTCCAAGTTGTTAATGCTGAAAATTTACCTTTTCAAAATAGGCACAGTACACGGGAAAAAGAGGTTGGAGTAAAGCCCCAACTTGGACATTTCCGATTAATTTCGGTAGTACCTACTCCCGGAAAATTAGGCTACGAACCCAAATGTTGCAGTACTACAAAAATTAATAGTAGACTTCGATATCATCCAACAAATTAGGACAGTACCAAAATTTTAGGGGACAACCCCTAACATTCTTTTCCTTGAAATCGATTCGACTAAATCACAAATCAAGTACTGAAGATATGATACTCTAAAAATAATTAGAGTGATCACTCAATCAACAAATAGAACAACTCAAAAGTGTGAGCCTCAAAATAATAGCAAAAAACAGGGGCGGAACTCCCTCGGCTGCGTCGCTTGGGGGTGAGGGGGGGAGGGGGTAGTCTCAGAAGAATGATTTACTTTCACGATTCCTCCGCTGTGGGGCAAGAGGCAGGAGCACTTGGCTCGGTGACACGGAGACATGTGCGCGACAGAATTCCTGCCTCGGAGTCGGACAGCCGTTATAAATCGCCGCGCCCGGAATCCGAATATCGTGACGGGCGAGCGGGCGTTTGACGGTTTCAATGGTCGGGGGGCGACGCGATTTGTTTTCGGGGGGGCGCGCGGCGGGCGGGGCGCGTTGCGGGAACAATGAGTCCCGTCCCGGAATGTCATCTTATGTCCTCGGCTCTGTCGACGCCCGACGCCCGGGTCGCCCGCCCAGAATGCCGCCCCGAGAAACAAAGTAGATTCTCCGCTGACGCCGAAAAATTATTCATTATGAGCGCCACCGCTGCGCCGGACTCCCCGCTCCGCATTCCGCGGCCGACGCGGAAGTCGGGCTCCGACTAATAGTATCCAGTGTCAAAAAATACAAATTAAAAGAACACAAAGTATTTTTTGATAAATATACTCTGTATGACGAAGACAATTCGTGAGAGCGAAAGGTAAAAAACCCTGACATGGAACAAGAAATGCTCGCCGCTTTAAGCTGACTTTTTCTTGATTCAATAAGAAAAATAATGCTTGGGTTACGCAAAAAAGTAGCGTATATTAACCAGCATAATTCTTGATTTAAGAGGAAATACTTCTTGGCGGCAAATTTAAGATTCTTTTTTTTCCAGTGAGGGTGAAAATGATGGACGAACTGAAGGGTCTCTCGTAGGTTGCCGTTAGTCATTCTATTACCTACCTCTTTGATCCATAGCAACCATCCAATTCCACCAGTAGAACCCCTCCATAACCCTTTTGTCTTCCTTGTCTATAGCTTTGTCTATCAGTTCCAATAATTGACCTGCTATATGGAAGCAAATAATAGAGTTTCACCTCACCTAGAACGAAGATTCTGTAATAATGTCGACTCCGTTGTGAATAATAAGGCTACAAAACGTTTCATCAAAACGTTTCCGCACACTATGATGAACATTGTCAAAACAAATCGGTAATGGACCACTGGACAAGGTACGAATTCAAGCATTCTAGTGCATAATACTTGACCAAAATTCAAGTAGAACACCCACCCTGTGTTGTTCAAACTGTAAACAATTTGCTACAACTGAGCCAAAGCGTCAAGATTGAGGTTGCCAGATTTTTCTATCGTAGAGACTGTCATGGTAACATTTAGCGCGCGATGCGACTCACGTATAGTATTGAGTTTTCATGAGGTTTGAATACATCCATCAACAAACATTGAATACCTTGAGGTTGCCAAATTTTTATATCGCAGAGACTGTCATGGTAACATTTAGCGCGCGATGTGACTCACGTATAGTATTCAGTTTTCATGAGGTTTGAATTCATCCATCAACAAACATTGAATACCCTCGTTTGGCGTTGATTTCAGTGATTCATCGTGCGCATCGTATGTTCAACGTGATATTTTGGTCAAGAAACATGTATCTGAATGCTTAATCCGTACCTTGTGCAGTGACCCATCAACATAGTTGACGCGATGACGCGTGCTTGCCTCTGTAGAATATGTGTGCGCAAAGAGAAATAGGGATTATTGTTTTCTCGGAAGTTATCCGAGAAGCGCTCATCTCGGATCAAGGTGTAGTCCAGGCGCCTGGTAGCTAAAAATGAGGCTACCTGGATTTTTGGGTGCACAGGGATTTTTTTGGATTACCTTATGTTTTTTGGGTCGCTGAATCCGAATCTGAAGTTTCCTACCGCGTATCTGGTGAGCATTTTCCGCCATTTTGAGAAAATGACCTAAAAAGTCCTTTTTTTGCGTTTTTTTTATGAAGCAGCTACGCATCAGAAAAAATCCCGGATTTAGCTGTTTTGAATAGCTGACGAAATTTGGAAGAAAATGGTGTATACATATGCTAGGTTTGCTTAAAAATCGAGGTTGATACAGCATCGTGAACATCGCGCCCATTCACGTTTTTGCGGTGCACCCGTTAACGCGTGATCCGGCTAGCCGCGGTCAGCTAAGTTCCGAAGCGTTCCAAAGTTCCGAGATCCGAGGTTCCTCAATTTTTGAGCAAACCTAGCATATTTATATACCATTTTCTTCCAAATTTTGTCAGCTATTCAAAACATTCGCTAAATCCGAGATTTTTTCTCATGCGTAGCCGCTATATAAAAAAAAAACCGCAAAAAAAGCCCTTATTCGACCATTTTTTCAAAATGGCGGAAAATGCTCACTAGATACGCGGTAGGAAACTTCAGATTCGGATTCAGCGACCCAAAAAACATGAAGTAAGCCAAAAAAAATCGCTGTGTACCTACAATTCCAGGTAGACTTACCAGGCACCTGGACTAGTGGTAAAAATGACGGAAGAGTCAGAAAATTTTTCATGTTGACGATCACTGTGTGAAGCCCTTTGCATCCTCAGTAACGCATGCTTTTAGGGACAGAGTATGGAGAAACTTAAAGAGGGAAAAATGGGTGCATAGTTCGAACTCTTTAAATTTTTCCTAAAGAGTAGAGTTTAGTAACTATTTATCGACCAAACCAAATTTTTTCTTTATTAATCACCGGCTTTTGTATTTTTATGGATCAATTGACAATATAATAATTGGTATTGCTTAAAAGTTTCGGTCTGTAGTGTTTTTACGATTCATGGAGGTAAGCAAATACGAACACCGGTTGCCTGTCTTTTTCTTTATTCTTCTATTTCATTCCATATTGGTTACTTCTGTCATACTTAATGAGCAGTCAATTGGGTGTTACGGAACCCCGGTGTTCCTTTACATTCTTGCTTCACCTATAAGTTGAAATTGAATTCGGCGTTGTGAAGAGGTGATCTTTTTGGGACCATTTTTGCAAGTATGCGGAAACGTCTCCCTCCCTTGGATATTGGTCTACTGGAAAAAAAACACATTGGATCTTGAGTCCAGGCACTTAAAAACATCGACAAGAAAAAATACTGATTCAATCGGATTTTTGTTTAAATCAAAAGAGAAGAACCAAGCCTTTAAAATTGAGCAGATTTCCTTTTGATTTAAGCTTAAATTTGATCGAATCAAGAG